AATGTGGCTTGTAAACCTGCGTCTGCGGTCTCTCATGCATTCAGAATTCAATCAGTGCTAAATGCCACACGTAGACACGATGTAAATAAGATATTATTCGCAGTTCAGAAAGCTTCACTGATTATAAAGGAACATTTAAATGATTCCCTTTGAGCTAAATTGACCTGTTTCCCTTACAATCGTGAGATTGCGATAAATTGAAGTGAGTGACAGCTTTATAGTGATTATATGCAAGCGCTATTTGCTCGCTTTCTAGGCTATAATCAATTCAGAATTTGAATAAAAGTTTTGTTTTAGATGCTGCTAACAGGACCAACAGCCACATAACCTGTAACTTACATGAAGCAAAGTTTAAGGAGTGACAAAAAAAGCAGAACGGATGAGATGGTGGAAAGTCCGTACTGTACTTTTTTTTTGGCATGAGGCATTTTTTTTATATAGCGCTTTCACTGTATTGCTGTACACCCAACGCACTTTACAATCATGAGGGGATCTCTCTTCGACCACCACGCTATTACAAGAGAAAGGTATAATCACAACATATGTTGGACGTGATCCATATGTTATGAAGAGGAGCGATTTTTAAACTAAATTGAAATAGTTGCCTGCCATTGAGGCGGTGGATATAGGCTAAGCAACTATTTTGAAAGTGAATCCCGTATATTTATATGAGGGATGTGGAATGTGTCACGCCTGAAGCTTTGCTGCATGTACAGGGTATGTGACTGTTGGTTCTGTTAGCAGCACATAAAACAACTTTTATTAAAATTTTGAATCGATTATAGCCTGGAAAGCGAGCAAATTGCGTTTTCATATAACGCTAATCACTAAAAAGCTGTCACTCACTTCAATTTATCGCAATCTCACGATTCCGTGATATGAAGCTCTCAGAACTGCCAATAATATATTATTTACATCATGTCTATGTGTGGCGTTTAGCATTCAGTGAATTCTGACTGTGTCACCCTGTATCTATTTATATATTTAATATATTATTATATCTTATATTAATTGCACACACAAGCATTGCACACACAAGCATTATCCGGCTCCGCTCCTCCCGACCGCAGACGCAGGTTTACAAGCCACTTTTTCCTGTGTTTTTCAACCAATTTCTTGACTTTTCCCCCCTTATGAACAACACATTTTCGTACACGATAAAAGTTCCTTGTGGTTTCTCGGTTTGGTCGATTTGAGCATCCATAAACAACGCAAAACACAGGCATTTTGAGTTTTGTTAGTGATTTCTATGGAGAAAAATCACTTCCTGCCCTCCAGCTGCATTTCGCGCGTCATCAGAATCACATGATTGCAAACAACCTATATCAATGGCATGGCATTTGAGATGCCTGGGAAAATCGGTACCCACTTGCCTTTCTCCCTTGTGACCTGCAGCATATTGATTCAGTTATGATTCCCTCATCTCCAAATTTCACTAGTATTCAGTGTATTATCTGGACCGGGTCATTCTAATATGCTGATATGGTACTAAAGAAACATTTATGATGAAAACTGTTGTGCTGCTTAATATTTTTGTGGAAACCAAGATACATATTTTTCAGGTTTGTTTGACAAGTAGAACGTTCCAAAGAACAGCATTTATTTGAAGTATATTTTGGTTGCAAAAGTATTTACTGTTTCTTTTGATTAATTTAATGCATCCTTATTCATTTCTAAAGAAAAAAAATCTTATTGACCAAAACTTGAAGCAGTAGTGTGTATATAGGTCAGGATTTCAAAACAGGTCCCTTTGCATGCTAAAAGAAAATTAGGTAACACTTTAGTTTAGGGACCAACTAGTTGCTTATTAGAATGCACATTACTAGCATATTGGTTGTTTATTAGTACTTATAAAGCACATATTAATGCCTTATTCTGCATGACCATATTTTAGAACCTTTAATCCTACCCTATCTCTAAACTTAACTAGCCTACCTTACTAACTATTAATAAACAGCCAATTATATTTTTTTTGAGGCAAAATTCTCATAGTTAAGTGTTAGTTAATAGTGAGAATTGAACCTTAAAATAGAGTGTGACCGAATTGTCTAAATTAGACTAAATTGTCTTAAAGTGCCCCTATTATGCCTTTTCGAATATTACCTTTCATGCAGTGTGTCATGTAGTGGTATGTGAACATAAACTATCTGCAAAGTTGTGAAGCCGACAGTGCACGATAAATAAAGTTATTGTCTATCAAAAAAACGAGTTGGCTCGCAATCGCCTAATCGAGTCGTCAGGAATTCGAATCTTATTCTGTTATGGCTCTACGTCATGAAGTAACACATTTGCATAATGTCTGCCCACATTCTACGTTGCCAACTTGCCCGCCCAGGCGCCCACAAGCAGTAAAATTTCTTGCGAATCAGACTCTTGTCGATCAGCCACTTTTCATCATCAGACTCCGGCTCGAATTGGTAAGGTACAATCGATACCATCTTTTCTATGTATTGACAAGTCTCCAGGGCTGTCATTCCATCATGGCAAAGGGCGTTTTGTTTCTGACATGCGCTGTACGCGTTGAACCAATCCAGAGCCAATCTCCCTACGGCTCTGGACCGATCACAAAGGACCGAGCCATCTGACCAATCACAGCAGTGAGGGCTTATGGAAAGGAGGGGTTTAGAGAGACTGATTCTTTGAACTGCTTTGCACGAGTCGTTTACGAATCATTTAGAAATTAGATCTTTTTTTTTTTAGAAAACGAACGTGTTTTTTGACCTTGCATGCATGTAAACCTGTTTTAGGAGACTCATAAAACAATATTAGCAACCTTAAAAATGGCATAATAGGGGCACTTTAAATAAGGAATAACACTGCTGAAGGACTGCCAAAAGCACCCAAAAACCAAAACTGTGATCTGAGCAACCGTAAATGTAACAAAGAATATTTTTATTCTAAAAGAATCATTGCCAACTCAACTGTCCTATATAGCAGAAACCGGTTCTTGTAACACCTTGTCAGCTCTTTTGATCAAAGGCGAGAGCTTGCTCTCTTCAGAAGCTGTGTTCTTGAACGTACTATCTTTCGACAGTTTCTTCAGCGTTGCATACATATTAGCAATGTGTTGCACCACATCACTCTCTGAGTCTGCCTGGAGTGGGTGAGAGTCTCTCGCTTTTTTGATCTCGAGTCAGTTCAGGGGCTTGAGAATGCAAATGTCTTTGAATGTCTCCTGTGACTATGAAAGCACTCTGTCACCAGGCCATTCCAACATATATTTCTCAACTCAATTTCACACACAGGAAGCATACCTGCATTCCTCATTTTATACATGCCAAACATTTCAACATAACATACATATTTCTGCCACTTAATGTTAGTGCCATGCATTTCTCACATGCAGAAATCTAGTGTTCTGCTGTTTTATAATGTCTGAACATCCCTCTAAAAGCAGAAAAGTATCCACTAAGGATGAAACATTCAGCAGAGCATGAACTAAGCAGCCCTCCAGCTGAGTAATAATGCTGTGTTTTGTTCATTCAGGCTTGGTTTCAGCTTATATGTCACATCCCTGATGACCAATCATGAAGCAGAATAAAAAGTGTTTTTAAGAGCCAAAGCATTCATACAAAAACACCCAGAGCAAGATAAGGTATGAGATCCCTTGAGATGATATGGCAAGACTCTTTGAACAACCACACTACAGTACAAAGTGTTTAAAATATATAATCACTTAAGAGTTTTGCAACAGATCTGTAGGGAGTGCCCATTTTTCAGTGGAATAAAACAGCAGGCCAGCAGTACAAGCAAGGAGTTACACTGAACAATGTACACTCCCTAAAGATCTATTATCTCTAAAGATGTGTACATTTTTTGTGCACACGCCTTTAATGTAAAACGTATATTCTCAGTTACTTTATTCTCTTGACTGCCTGCTGAGACTAGACATCTTCAAAATGCTGCCTACAAAAGGTTTGGATATGTAATTCTAGCTTTTGGCCCTATCCAGGATGCAAATTACAGTATTGGGTACAGTATGACCCGCCAATTAAGGACAGAGCCATCAAAAGGAAGTCAAAAAAGCTTGTTAATATGTATTTCTTTTACCATGTTTTCATTAAACATACAAATGTACAACATAAAACTTCAAACAAACTCTATAATGGTTTGCCCAAGTAAGTCAAGCGTATACTTAAAAAAACACTACTTTTTTCATATTGTTTTACACAAAACCATGTAAACAATGAAACTTTAAAAACATTTTTTAAACTGCATGTCATTATTTTAAACTAATTGGAGGCCATCCATCGATTTACTATAGGTAAAATGTTATTTATAAAAGCATAAGCATTTAAAGAATGTAAGGAATGTTAATGGAATTGATATCATATTTGGAACCAGACCAAACAAAAATCTAAGAAACAAACATACATTTTTTCAAAGAGTCAGGATTATTATATAATTATAGGTGGGTTATTGTTTGATCCTATTAAGATTTCCAAACCCCCATTTGTTTTCCAAATTAAAATATTATCATATTTCTATAAATGTGCAAGTAAACGTTTTATTTAATAATTGTTTTTTAATTTTTAATTGCTATGATTGCCATAATAGGCTGTGTAGGTTCCATTGGGACAACTGTTCATACAGCATACTGTACATGCAGGGCTATTGGGGCATGTTGTCACAAAGGTAAACATGTAGTGTATGTCAAATAGGTTTTTGTTGTGAGGACTTTAAATCACTTTAAAAAATAATTTGACCCTTAGAAATATATACCGACGTTAAACGAGTGACAGTTAGTCCCAGTTTCCCCAACATAGCCCATCATTCCACAAATCAACTTTAATAAGCATTCAATGGCAGAAAAAGCACTAGATTATACATATGACTGAAGTGAAGTGATGCTAATTCTTGACATTATTCATGACCTTACAAAACTGGTTTGCTTGATCTGCCAATGCGATACAGTTACAATCGAGAAGTTGTCGTTCAACGCAAGTTTCCAGAAATGACAGATCATTACAGCGACACAGATGTCCTCAGAGATAACCTACCTCGCATTGGGTTTTGAATCCAGAGGATTCCCCCGATAAGGTGAGGAGACTGCCCTAACATCATGGTACCAGAGCAGGTGGTCGAAACACGGTCGAAACACCTGTCTGACAGAAGTGTCCAGCTCGCGCGCCTTATGAAAGCTGATTAATAATAACGCGCTCGCGCCAGTCCGCTACTCCTCAATGAAGAGCGCATTCGCAACTCAATGACCTACGTGAAAGAGTCACACAAAATACGGTTTCTAAACATTAAAATGGTTCATTCGGAGTAGGAACATGCTGTATTGTGTTCTGTTCCTCTCAATGGTGTTCCGCGGCGAGATGTGAATCAGTGGGTGTACGTGCAGATGCTGAATGATGCAGATCGTGAATCTTTACAGTATATGCATAGACTGATTTCAAGCCCACGGGCCCCGCGAGCCCATCTCCATGCCTTAGGTTTCCAGTGCAGAAGCAGGACAAAGATCTGCGGTTGATCGGCAGCCAATCATAATCCCAATCCGGCTGAGGGGAAGCTTCGTTTGTTTGTTTGTTTGTTTGCTGTTGAAGCGTTCTTTTCAATAAACAAACGTTTCCGCAGAAATACATCTCGAGACGTTTGTTAAAGTCTTACCTTGAACAGCCATGCTGCTACTCCATGAGTTCGCGCATTATGGGAAGGAAGGTAAAGCTGTAGGTTGTCAGAGTAGCCTGCCCCACTCCACCAAAGCGTCTTGCTTATTAACACTTGCAAGCAACCTCTGTTAAAGCCGAGTGTGCTGAAAAAGCATGAAATGTGTACTCGAAGAGCCATGGGTATTGTAGTTCCACCTTAAGTTACTGGATCTGTAACCACGTTGTTAAACCGGTTTCAACTAATTATATTAGTCAGCATAGACATGTTTGTTTGTTTGTTTGTTTGTTAGTTAACTTGTTTAAATATTAAATAGGCCTATATGTATTTATTTATTTCAAATATGAATAAATATTTAGGCTAACATTCATCCAACATTCAATATAGTCTATAGGCTACACGCTGCGAGAAATGTGGGTGTTATGCATTTGAAAGTAAACTGTTTGTCAACTATTTTTTGTATGTTGGTTACAAACACATTCTAAGCTGCAAGAAATTTGGGGTGTTGCTCACAAATATGGCTCATTTTTGTGGAATTTGTGCTTGTGAAACTGTGAACCTGTTGCATACCTCTAACTCACTGGATATTATTTTTTGAAAAGTTCTGACTATTGTGACCAAGGGTTCTTCATTGTTATCATTTCTAACATTTTTGAAAGACAGCCATATAAATCTTAACCTACAAGCTTCCAAACTGTAAGTCAAAGTCCCCTTCAAAACATGTTATTGTTCAAAGTTGGTGTGCTTTTTTCTCATATGGTAGCTAGCGCAAAGGTTTCCTTTGACTTTTTCAGCTCTAGCTGTCCAAAAGGACAACACTGAGTCAGAACATCCAGAGAGCCACATAAATTCTTTATTGAGCTCTTAATCAGGGCCACTTGCCGTGAAAGAGTTTGACATTGCAGGGAGGGACAGAAGCTAGTATAAAGTGAAGAATGCAGAGATTGAAGAGGCATCATTATAGATACAGATCACTGTCTGCAGAACTCAGGCTTTCTCAATTTATTTTGCATGAGTGAATACAATAATGATGAGCATGAAGCCTTTAGAAAACTATTATCAAGTAAACCTACATCCCTATTACCGTGAACTGATCACATCACAACCTAATTCAGGTTATGGGAAATGTGTTAGAATATATGTCATCTATAATTACACATGGTTCACTTTGGGTCTTCTGTGTGGCAGTATGAAAGTATTTTGAACAGGTTTAGTTGAGCAAAAAGAAAAAAAACCCCTGCACATTATTGATTCAATCTTGTTGAACCCCCTCTAATGAAATGCCTGTCTTGGGGGTACTTTTGTGGCAGGGAGATGGAGAACAATATCTGTACACAAATATAGTGGAGGCATCCTACATTAAGAACAAGGTCATTATCCAAGTCTCAGGAAAGTAAAACACCAGTAATTTCATCTTCCAGCTGTAATTTGTGACAATTAGAGGTCGCCTTTTGGCAGCTCAACAACCCTCTAGGCTCTTGTTCAACCAACTACCACAGACAGCCAGTGAATGGAGAGTGTGCTTCCAGATGAATGTCATTACAGTTGGAGCCCCTTGGTAGACATCATGGATCCTGGAACAAATAATGACCAAGTGGCTTTTCCTGAAATTATACTTTTTATTTTAATTTTATTTTCATCAGTGGGCACCTAACTTTGCAAATAATTAGCAAATATGGAGCACACTGTATATGAAGTGTAAACTACTATTATGTAATTGACCTAAATTGAAACCTTAAGGTTGAGCTACAGAGCTTGCCTGTCCATCAGGTCCAGGTACAAGATTTTGTTCCACATGCTTATGTCATGATACAGCATGATACTGTTAATGTTTTTTTATTCCGCATTCCTGATGATTACAGTCAGCTCTAGTTTTTCTGGTTTCCAGACAAATGACAATCAAATAATGTTTAATTGAAAGAGAACAACTGCACACTCATTTAAGCAGAGGCTATTTATTATCCAACGTTTCGGCTAGTAGCCTTTGTCAAAGTATAGTTTCACAAAATGGAGAGTAGTATAAGTAAAGGAGATAATTGTACACAGCTGAGAGTGGTGAGATTTTGTTAGATTGTAATTTGTATTTATTCTGTTTGTATAGATCAATTTGTTGATGTAACTACTTTCCATGTTAGAGTCTAATTGTCAATTGGTTAATTATTGGATGATTTGGATCTCACCACTCTCAGCTGTGTACAATTATCTCCTTTACTTATACTACACTCCATTTTGTGACACTATACCTTGACAAAGGCTACTAGCCGAAACGTTGGATAATAAATAGCCTCGGCTTAAGTGAGTGTGTAGTTGTTTTTTCAAATAGGTTTTTTTCGGGTGTGTGTGTGTGCGCGCTTTGCTTCACTTGCTCAATCAAAGAATGTTTGGCATTGCTTATCAGTTTGCTCTGTGATTAAACGTGTTGTTCTGCTACATGAATGTCTTCATGCACTTACTGTACTGTAGGTTGACAGTTCCCATAAGCTTTCCATAAACATGCGGTCATTTGTTGCTGTAATGACATATTTCGAAAGAGACAGCCACTGCTTATTTATTTTCATTTTAAATCACCCTGAAATAAAAATAAAAATCATGTGCTTCTTGCAAAGTAGACTACTTCCAAATTTCCAAATTGTTTTAAGAAAGCGTCTGTGAGTGAATATGTAAAGGACAGATTTTATTGTCAGTTCTATACTAATTGAAACAAAGACCCATCTTGTTTTACTCAACTACTTGTATTTTATTAAAAGTACATCATGTACTAGATGCAGAGATAATTTCCAGTTTCATAATGACTGCAAATACATGGCAAGGAGGAAATTGTAGCGTTAGTGCACTGCTCCCTCTTCTGGATGATTTACAGTATGACAAATAATATACTAACAGCAGCCCTTTTTATCTCTACTGTATATATAGCCTTAATGCAAAAAATCAAATTCGTTTTAGTAGTTCCCTATTTACAAAGCATGATTCAATGGAACAAATCTTTGTACATGCATACACATGAATAAGCAAACACGGCAAGAGCTGAGACAGCTCAGAAAACTCAGTCTGCAAACTTACAAACTGTAATACATGTAAACAGTTAGAACCATAATAATTTAATAATATAATTTAACAATATTCTATATTTTATCATTAGCAGCAAAATCTTTCACATTCAGTTCAGAGTCCCCACACTGTGTCATATTAACAGTGTAATAATGACGCCATCATCCCGGCCCTGCCACAGCATCTCCCCCTCAAAAGCCACCTTTCCATGCTTCCTGGCCCTCATTAGTATTCCCACGACTTTATCAGAGATCCGCACATATCTGTCAAACAGATCGCCAAAAGTCACTCTAGTGTAACCGTCTGGATCCGGGTCCACCATGGTCCTTATGATGAAGCACATGTCATCAATCTCCCGGTGGATGTGTGCCTCTGCGCGTTTGGCCCTCTCTGCTGTCTTACTGCCCTCTTTGGGCCTCCCATAGCCCTCCTCACCCCGCCGCAGCCGTGTTGACATGGAGTACTCATAATCAAAGTCCTCGCTGAAGGGGTTGAGCTTCTGATTGACGGTATGCTCTGATGCCCAGTTTTGCCAGCGGCTTTTTAAGTTGCCCACAGCGCTGTATTTTTTGGACAGGGTATTTATTTTGTTGGCATCTTCAACATCCTTCTTGCCCCTAAAAAGATAGCATATTATTTAGAATAATGCATATTATTTATAAAACAATGTTTGTTTTATAACTTGTAATGCCAGTAGGCTACTTAAGTGCAACAAAATGTGCTATACTATAGCCATTTGATCATATTTGTTTAAAGCAACTGTATGTATAGGAGGGGGCAATATATACCATAGACACAATTAACTGGTAGAAATTTTTCAACTGGTAGAGATTTTGGACTGTTGTCTCCATCATGGTTACACGTTCACGTGACGTTGATGTGCTACATGGTCATGAAAATTAATAATTTTCATGCATTTTAAAGCATTGCAGTTTAAAAACAAGCGATTTTAAACCGTTGAAACGCAATCAGCAGTGAAAGAGAACTCATTTCGCTATATGCACGCTTTAGTTTGCTATATTTCGCTATAGTTATTTTTGACACTTTATAGGCCTTGAATGGTTAAATACACACACTTGTATGTGTCAAAATGCCTGTCTTTGCAAGTATCCTCGTAAACATAGTAGGTCTTAGTGAAAGCAAACAGCTGAGAAAGAAAACACTATAACAATAAGTTGGATCCAGGCTGCTCTTAAAGTGACAGCAGTCTAATCTTCCTGCTGTCTATCATTCATGTTAATCAAACAACAAAAGAGAGAAAATCTTTCACTGCTCTTGACTAAATCACTTTTGTAATTTAATATTAAGAAATATATTTAATTTACACAGTGAAGAATATGCCGGTTTTATACATTTGATTACTTCATATAATGCATGTAGCATTTCTTATTTATTTGTTCTACTGTAGTTATTTTGTCCTGTTGCTTCTAGTTAGTTTCTTATTCTTATTTAATTGCTGACTGTTTACTTGTCTTCAGTGAGCTTGAGTTTCTTTTATTTTTTAGGCTATTTGTAGTTTTTTGTGATATTGACACTGGTGACAAATTATAAAATGTCTATGTTATCAAACATTTTGATACCATAAAGACCATATGTAAAGCAAAAATAACTATATTGTGATATTTTGTTACTGTGAAATAAAATTACTCATATCGTGATATAATATTTTGGTC